AAGAAAGTTTCTGAGAAGTGGAAAAATCTACGTGATTATTTCAGAAAAGAACTGAAGAAAATACCTCTGCCCCGGTCTGGTGATCCAGGCGAAGAGGCTCTTAAAAAGAGCTCCTGGCCTCATTTCAAAAGTTTATTGTTTCTGAGAGACCAGTTTCTGCCGAGATCCAGTCATAGCAACCTGTTGGATCCCGACAATGACACACAAGTTTCGACACCCTCTACGCAGATGGATGAAAATGATGGTGACTATGACGAAGACGAAATGGACGAAACGCAGGGTGTAGAAACGCAGGAAACAGAACCCGACCACACAGAATCAGTCACTCCAATTCAAAGCACACCAAAAGAACCACGAACTATTCTAAAGAATAGGGCCCGAAAACGGTCAAATCAACTTGACGCTTTTCTTGAGATAGAGAAGAAAAAACTACAATATTTAGATGAGAAACGTGTCGCTGCAGACCGTGGCAGAGCCCTACCAGTCACAGATGACGATAAACTGTTTTTTGATAGCCTTTTGCCCCACGTGGTGAAAATTAGGCCTCATCGAAAACTTCAGTTCCGCAATGAAATTCAAAATTTGGTTCAGAAGTATGCCTATGAAGAGTACTCGAACAATCAGTCCACCATCAATGTCAGTCATTCTGTTAATCATAGCCCGACATATACATCTCAACCACAAACATCGTTTGCACATTCATCCCATTTGTTGCAGGGGTTTAATTACGCAGATCAGTAAACATTATAAGTTATTATAAGTTATCGTTCGTTGTGTTCAGAAGACAGAATATTATTTTGCGTTACCGTTTGTTTGTTTATGAATAATAAAAGTATTATCCTTAATACATAATATTCTCTTACCGAATTGTTACCACCAACATTTCTTCGGTTCCTATAGGCGCTTGATTAAAATTTGTCCATTTCTTGTTGATGCAGGGTGTAACTTGTTCTAATATATACTGAAAGGTGGCAAGTTCCATTCGAATGTAGTCAAATAGCCTGTCGGGATAATTTTTCAGTTCTAGAAATAAATGATGGAATTCCCCTAGGCGTTTCCGACTTTTATTTACGTCGTGCACACTACACTGCCGCACTCCAGTCATTAAAAGCACTTGCAGGTAAGTATTATTGAGAAGAATGTCATCGTCACTGTCGGAATACATATTTTTACGTCTATCTTCGACAAAACGCGACGCTCTACTATAACCATAGGTGCCTCTTGCCTCTACGCTCTAGACGCTACCAGATATCTGAATCTGAAACCTCGTCGCTCCACTATGTTCGTACCGTAAGTGGGAGGTCTCGCGAGCGTGGACATGGTATATTCGGGCGACCTCGGCACACGCTGGTCTCTTGTTGTACAGTGGAATTTGTGGCGTGATTAGTTTTCGTTTGCGGCTATATTGGTTGACATTGTTTATTTTTAAAATGGAGTGGACAAATGATTTTAGGAATTTTTTCAGAGCGAACCTTGTTTGTGGGATCCCTCTGACGAAAATCATAAAAGAAAGGAGAAATTAGCTGACGCCTGGAATCGAATCTCTGAATCTACAGGCAAATCTGTGGCAGAATTAAAGAAGAAAAAAGATTCTTTAATGGCCACTTTCCGGGGTCACTTAAGAAGGAAAAAGGCGTCCATTAGGAGCCGTGCTGGGGGCGATTATATTTACAAGCCTATATGGTTTGCATACAGCTTTATGGAAACTTTTCTTTTTTCTTGGTCAAATATATGACTGCCACCCTACCATAAACAGTCAAGACACGGTAAGTACATTCAATAAAATAACTATTACTTATTACTTGTCATACAATATTTTATTTGTTTCTTAAATTCACAAAATATTCAGTGAAATTATCTCTAATCTTAGCCGCACTAATCGGTGATCGACGAGCAATATGTGGTACACATCGAATAGCACAGTTTTGAGGTACTTCTTGCCTCCAAGCCCCTTCAATGAAAACGCCGTTATCATATTTATCAAGAGTGCCCGACGGGTTATAAATGTTTTTTGAACTAGAACTTTTCATAAGAAAATTGTGTAGAAGTACACATGTCATTGTTAACTGCGTCACTTTTTCGGGCATCAATTCGATTGGCTTTTTGAAAAATCGGAACCTGGAAGTTAATATTCCAAAAGTATTTTCAGACAATACACGAGACCTTGACAATGTTTCATTGAAAATACGTTTGGGAGTATTCAATTTATGATCGCCAGGATATGGCTTCATTAAGTTCTCGCTTAATGCAAAAGCACCATCTCCCAAGAAAACATATGGTAAATCGACGTTTAATCCGGGTAAGGGGCAAGGTGGAGGAAAATTCATCTTATTTTCACAAATATTTTTCCATAACACACTATTTCTAAGTATGCCGCCATCACTGATTCTTCCTTGGCTTCCAATGTCACAAAATATAAATCGATATTTACTGTCTACTACAGCTAGAAGAACAATACTAAAGGTTCTTTTGTAATTGTAATATTCTGATCCAGTGTGATCAGGACATTTGATTACAACATGTTTTCCGTCGATTGCTCCAATGGCGTGGGGAAAATTATCTCTAAATCCTTTTTCAATTTCTATCCACTCATCTGTAGTTGACGGCATCTGCAAAAAGATAAGAAATTACATTTATTGTTAATATTGTTAATATGTAATAAAATGTATTTATTTTTCAGATTTCTCTTGATAACGAAACCCTCGAGCCCACATCTCAAGAATCAGAATCAGAAATCAATGAAGTAGTGAATGTTGTACCCTCAGCTAAGTCTCAGCAAGCAGCACTTGTAGCCAAACCTCACCGACCAACACCCTTACCAATCTCTCAGCAAAGATATCGTCGTCGCCAAGTTCCTACGGAATTGCTTCAAGCAGAAAGTGAAATGAAGGAAGCCTTCTCATGGGTGAAGAATGTTGTGTCCAGAAATGATGAAAAAGAGGACGAGTATGATTTATACGGTAGAATGTTGGCGAAAAAACTACGAAAAATTCCGGAATTTCAAAGAGAATACTTGATGCATGATATTAACGAAATGGTCCTCAGGGCAATGCATCCATCTCATGGTTCCGTCGCCAGGCCATCCTGTTCCAATGGACCACCTTCGAACTCATCGCTAATTTCCTTATCGTATTCTCGACCTACATCTGCAAACAGCAATAACTGTTCCTATGCCTCATCACAGGGTATCAACGAGCATGCCCAGGACCAAATGGAAGAACACATACAGGAATCTGATCCTATCAGCCAAGCACTGTATATGACCTTTGGAGGAAAAACAGACACCAACTCGAAAACTACTCATTTCAACATGTAGATGTAAACATTTTATAATAAAACTGTAGCTCTATAAATGCAAATGAATCTATTTACCTTAATTTCATCTTTCAAAGCCTCATTCAGTGCTGCACAGACCTCCGGAACAATCCGCGATATTATTTCACTTGAAACTTTAAATAAATAATGTAGGCTCTTGAAACTGTCGCCTGTGGCTAAATATCTCAAAGTAATTGCTAGCCGTATTTTTGGAGTTATTGCCTGTCTCATTGAAGTATCTTTTTTGGAAATCATTGGTGAGACTATATTTAAAAGATACTCAAAATCAGCTAGAGGCATTCGAGTAAAATTTTCAAATTCACCACCAGGTTCCATTAACAATTCGCTCAACTGTCTGTCCATGTGTTCCCTATACGAAAATAAAAAATCAAATCAAACACAAAACACTTTATAAAATCTAATCAAATTACGTAATAATGTCAGTATATACCTACCTCGTTCTATTTCGATTGATTGATTTCACCCACCATCTTCTTTTCTTCCAAGGCTTCTTGATTTTTGAAGTTGATATAATATGCAAATATTTATAGTAACAATAAGCAGCTACAGCTATACAAATTTCCACGTTCTTGGCCATCACTCGCACGAATCTACACAAAGAGCCGGTTCGATGTTTACTGCGAGAGTATACACGGTGTCCTTGGGCCTCGTGCCTCGGGGCGCCTCGCATCGGGGAGTCTCGCATTCGGATGGCTTCGACGAGCGTGTACTGCCAGCATTACGGGAAAACCAGCGAGCAACGAGCCGCTCGTTGCTCGCTTTGAGTGCTCCACCCGGCTGTCGGTTTTTCGGCGAATCCTTTGAGTGTTACGCGGTTCGGTCAGTACGCTGCAACAAGTCGTGACGAGCGCACTAGATGAGCGCACGCGCACACGTTGTTCATTTCGTTTATTATTAGGAATATGGAGTGGAACAAAGAAAGAACTCTGCATTTCATCGAAAAATATAGAGAAGAATCGGTATTGTGGAATCCAGCTCATCCAGAGCACTACAACAAATTAAAAAAAGAAGACACCTGGGATAGATTGGCTTTGTTAATGGAGAGCGAAAGAAATACGTGTAAAACGAAAATGACAAGCTTACTGGCGTCATTGAGGAGGGAAAAAGTGAAAATAAAAAGATCAAGAGGTACAGGAAAGGGTAGCTTTAGCCCCCAAAATACTCAGCCACATTTTAAAGTTAAGTTGTATGTCAAGTTATGCTGCCACGTGTCAGATTCAAAGACAAAACGAGGACAGTATTAGTTTAAGAACAACATAAATAAAATAAATATAGGTATGTTTTATATTCCAAAAATACTTTATTTTCAGGTGCTGAATAAGTATATCATAGTACTTGGTTTGCATACAAAACTATGATGTTTCTACTGGATAGAAATACACCTGTTGCCACAACAGATACGGTAAGTTTTATTTTAGCATAATTTTCTTGCCAGCTGACAGACCCTTCTTGGATGCAATATTCAGCAACTTCATTACGAATATTATGAGCAGTTCTTGAAGCCCTTCGCGGTCTTATTTCCAAGGGTAACATACTCGCCATATCATTGTTACTTTCTCTCCAGTTTCCTAATCTGACTATCCCATTAGTTTCTTCGTCCAAGCTACCCGCAGGGGTACATACATGAGCGTTATTACCTTTTCTTAAAAAATTGTGAAGTAGTGTTATTGCTGTTTCAACAGATGTTGCGGTTTTGGTTCTAACAGCATTGGTTTCCGCAAAACTCTTAAAACTGCAGATAATAAGCCGAACGCATTTTCCACCACTCTATGAGCTCTGCAAAGTCGGTAGTTGTATATTCTTTCTTTAGAACCACGTTCATGATATCCTGAATATACTTTCATCATATTTTCGGATAGAGCAAAAGCTTCATCTCCAACAAAGTAATATGGAACTTCTTCCGTTCTTGCTGGCAAGGCATCAGTGGGCTCAGGAATGTTCAGTGCATTATTTTGTATTTTTTCGTTCAATTCACAGTTGTTGAAGACCCCTCCATCGGATATTCTTCCTTGACTTCATGAATGCATACGTACAAAAAGTTATATTTTGCATCAAAAACTTCCAATAATACAATGCTGAGGAAACCCTTGTAATTATAAAATTCATTTCCGCTGTTGATCGGTGCCTGCAGTATAATATGTTTTCCATCGATTGCTCCTAGGCAGTGTGGAAAATTCCACAAAGTATCATACTCATTTGCTACAGCCATCCATTGCTCCGGTGTTTCTGGCATCTGAAATAATTATTTACGTTTATTTTCAGCTACGCGCTGCTCCTTCAGAACAAAGCAACACTGAGTGCCCTCCATCTGCCAAACCAAGCAACATTGATTGCCTCTGCCTCCAAAAAGGAAGAAAGCAGTAGCCCCCAACCCGGAAGAGATAATGGCATCTACTTTAAATAAATATTTTAAAAAAGAGAACCGAGAAAACGGAGTCAACTTCACAAAAACTTGACGAATGTGAAGCGTATGGTATTTTTTTGGCAGATAAATTAAGATCTTATTCAAAGACAACAAGTACATATGTTCAGCATTACATATCAATATATTGTTTAGTGCTGATCGCGGAGAGTATGAGTATGTTGGCGATTATAACTATAATTCTTCACAAGGATACTCTACAAGACCAACAACTTCAAGAGCTCCATCGATGCCACAGCAAAGCCCTGAAGCACCTGCTTCACATACGCCTGATCAAATTGACTGTGGGTCTCCAACTTCGATTGAACAATTTCCATCAGAATTTGCTGATCTAATTTGATATGTAATGAATACTTTTTCTCAATTAATCAAAACAGTACGTACCTTTGCGTAATCTTTTAATACTCCAATCAAAGCTTCGATGACCTCTTTCACTATAAATCCTATCCGTAGCTTTGAAATCTTGAAAAGCTATTGCATACTAGTATAGGAATCTCCTGTCACATAAAAACGTAGTGTTAGTGCCAATCTTTCCATGACACTGATTGCTTTTCTATAATTTGTATCCTTTTTATGTACTTTTGGTCCAATTAAACTCACGAGTTCTTCAAAATCGATCGGAGACATGCGAACAATGTTTTTATACTGTCCACTAATCATTTGGTTTTTTAATATTGCTATCAATGACAAACCACCCGATACGTGTCTGTTTTTGAATAAGTCTGACGTCCAATAACGTTTTTTCTTCTTCTTAATTTGGATTAAACAATAGTTTAGCAAAATCAAAGATCCCAACACAATCTCCTCGTCAGACATCTTGGCTGAGACTGTGCGAATATGGAGCACATATTTCAAACGAGCATGTTACACCGATTTCGAACACAATGCGTACATACGCGATGCGAACATATTCGGTGCGAATGTTACATTGCACCTCGTAGCGTCGGTCAGTACCCACCTCAAGGCTTCAACGCAGTTAATCGTTCAGTGGTTCAGTATCGGTAGACCAGTACCACAAACTTTTACCTCAAAGTCGGGAGACATGAAGTCCGATCAAACTTTGAGGTTTTCAATAGGAACATTTCAAAAGACTCGAACTCTGGCGTATCTGTTTTATATGAAAACTCGCTTTTTGGGTGAACCGAGTGTGCAGATTTTCAAAAAGCTGCGTACCTGTGATTAGGACAAAACAATCGAATCCTGGGCACCTAAATAGAATTAGCCCAGGAAATGAACACTTTTGACCTAACAAAAATCCTATAATGGATGGAAATTTGGATTTAGGATACCTATATTGATACAATAGTTTTTTGAGCTATTCACCAACCATGATTAATAAAAATTACACAAGGTGTAGGGTAGAAGCTCAATTTTAACGTATAACGTGAATGTGTTCAAATTGTTTCAAAATTAATCCTGTGAACAAATGCATTCCAAAGTGACCAAATGATATTTTTTTTCGAGGTTAAGTGCTATTTTAGGGCATATAATTATCATTTCCCATGCGTCGAAGAATAATTATACTGAAAAGCAAAACATCTGCTTATTAGAAAAGAAAATATCTTTTCCTGCCACTTATTTCACGCAAACTTTCAGAACATCAACGCCAATATCTTGAAGGAAGGTGGCAATGTCAGACATCAATAATAACAGCATGAGGAATGAATATACTTCTACCTACTACTACTAATAATTTTGTACTCTACTTACATGTTATTTTATTTAAATGATGTTTATATTTTATAGACGAACACGAAAAATGATTTTGGTAAGAACCGTAAAACTTTTTTCAATGCGGGCAGATTCGGGTGGTAATTTGAGAAGATAAGCACTAGTCCATTAAAATATTGCGCTTATTTAGATTATATGTGCGGTACAGGTAAGAATAGAAGGAATCCACAAAGACTGATAAAAACATGGTTGGAGGCAAAAGTGATGATATTTGTAAAGCACACTACTAAAAAAATTAAGGAACAAGAAAAAAAACAAATGTTTCAGTAATTTTTGACAGGTTGTATCTCGATGAAAAATGTTATGTCATCTAGACTTTAAAAAAGAATTTTGAAGCTTTAAGATACTAGTTTTTAGGTCTTTTAGCATAAAAATTTTAGGAGCAGCGGTTCTTATGCAATTCTAACATGCAAGGAATTTTTTTTCTAAATTTTTTGGCTTCTTTTTAGTCCGCGGGCTTGAAACCATTTTTTCCTGTTAGGCCATCATATGGATCAGATAGCCATTTTATTCAGCTTCAATATATTGTTTTCAAAATCTCCATGCTATCATTTGGTGTGGAGAATGAAAAAGGATCCTTTTGTCAACCACCACTGATCGTACAGTGATCGTACAGAGAATGTAAGGGTATTTCCGAAAACTGGAATAAGTCTTCTATGAGGTTTGATTAGTATTGGTTTTAAAGGAGTAAGAAAAGTTACTTTTTGTCTTGTTTTGAGAAAAAAAACGAACGTACCCTAATAACACTACACGACGGCATATCGATCCATTGTACGGCTTCTCCGGAGCGATTGGTCAACATTTGAAAGAAATAAAAAAGCAAGTGTTATTAGCGGTACATTGAGGCTTAAAAAACCTAAAAATATTAGCCTTCTCACTAGTAGTTCCAAAAATGCGGTCGATTTTCCAATACCAAGCAAGATACTTTTTTGACTCTTAAAATTAATAGGTACTAACGATTGCAATCAAATCTTGTAGCGGGTTTAATTCAGTTTTCGGAAATACCCTTACATTCTCTGTGCGATCACTGGTTACCGAGAAATCAGTGGTCGATGACAAGAGGATCGTTTTTCCTTCAAAGTCTGATATATCGGCGCCAAATGATAGTATCAAGATTTTAAAAACAGGATATTGAAGCTGAGTAATCGGGCTATCTGATCTCCTAACAGAAAAAAATTCAAGCCCATGTACTAAAAAGAAGGTAAAAATTTTGCAAAAAAAATTCCTTGCGCTATCTGTTAGAATTGCATGAGAACTAGAATCTAGAAACTAGCATCTTACATCTCTAAAATGCCTTTTTTAAGGTCTATGTTCGACCTCTTTCACCGAAATACAGCCTGCAAAAAAATACGGAGAAAGTTGTATTTTTTCCTTGCTCCCTTAATTTTGTAGTGTAAGTCACCATCAGTTTTGAAAGCTGGCGGCATACATTTTTTCTACAAGGGTACAAGGTCCCATAAGCATTTTGCTGTTTCCTAAAAACCGCTTGTATCTGCTACTTATTTTGCATCGCAAATTACCTAGGCCGACAAAGGCTCATTTTTTGCTTGTAGCAATGGCAAAATTATCAAGAACCTCTGCGTATCTAGATCACAAGATGTGGGACAACTCTAAATACTGATAACTCGGCGCCGTACCTTAAAAAATTAAATGCAATAGTATTTATAAATACATTCATTAAACGAATAAGGCATTTATTTTTACGGATAATGCCAGAACGTGTTTTAATTTGTTTAATGTTGAAACGGGGTATGGTTGAGCATTGAAAACCACATTCTTGCGTTGGTTTGACTGACTTCCCAACAAGTAAAGATACTTTATGATTTTTTGTATCCTTTCATACAATATTTTTGGCTTATAATTGTTATATGTAGCGTTTGTTATGTCCTTGTTAATGATTACTAGGCAAGGTCTCTAAGATAAGGATCATACCCAACTAACAATTAATGTTTTATACATGTACTAACAACGTTTACAGAACTATTTTTATAAAACAACAATGCCACTGAAAACGTTTTAACAAAGCTGATATAACCTTTATAAACCCAAAAAGGCGGACTCTTGTGCAGCAATTTTGTTCTTTAATTTGTTTTATCATGGCTCCGACAGCTTCTACCGGATAACTGTTCAAACGTTTTTAAATTATTATAAGATAGATATAGTATACAACAGTTATAAAACAGTTTTATTGAAAACAGTTACAGAACTAGAATAAAACAATTTTATGAAAGTTTGGGTATTATCTTAGATGCAGCTTTTTTGTTTTGACTGACATTAAAAGTTTGTTTTTGTTGTTAAATTGCACCCATTGCGAATAATTTGTTTTTTAAGGATCCTTGATACAACAAAAGGGCAAGCATTAAGCCTTTTTGAGCAAATAAAATGTGTCTGAGTAACATCAGCCATGTTGCATTTAGTTCTGATATACTATATACACCCAATACCAGCCAGATAGAAATTCGATTTTTAATCTGCTGGTTGATATCTTACTGCGCAAAACATTTTTTTGTATAATATATGGGGGTATATGTAGCAAGATTTTGAAGCGCCTCAGGTATACTAGTTATTATTGAATTTTAAGAGGAAGGGTCAACATTTACATTCGTATTTCTTCTTATGCTGGCCTGGATTGTAATAAAATAATTCAAGTGAATCATCTTATACCATTATATAAACACCAAAGGGGCCGTTCAAGTATTACGTAAGCAGATTTATTACAATTATTTACCTCCCCCCCCATACCCCTTGTCAGCAAAAGTAAGCAAAGTTCTTACCCCCTCCCCCCATGCTTACGTAAACATTTGTCAATTAATGTGTTGTTTTTTTAATATTATAATTATAACGTCATAATTATAATTTGAAAAATAAGTAAATAGATTTAGGATAGAGATTATATTTTACTGATACGGTATTCAACATAGAGTAAAGAACAAAAACATTATATCTTACTAACATAACAAACTTATTTTAAATTTTTGGTACATATATTAAATTCAAATTAACAGTCTTCAGTCCAGAAACCCGAATCCATGATTCTAAGTTTTCGATCACATTGGATTGCTTCGATTGCTGCTCAGTGTTGTGAGTTTGCTCGCTTTCATCGGATTTTGAAATGTCTACGTCGTTCTCATCGAGCCATTCAACATCATGGTGCTCTAAATTTTGAATAATGTACATCAGTTCAATAGCACGACGAGCAGCGACTCTTACAGGTCTAACTTTCCTATCAGTGCGCGTGTTTACTTTTTTATGGATATTTTCGATGTGACGATTTGGTGACTTGACGGAAGCATGATAAAGACCACACGTTTTGCATGTTCGACTTGATAGCCTCAATTTTACCGTCGGACAAAAATAATCGTAAGGCATTTGCAGGAAATCTTTGAGTGAAACACTTAAGCGCAGAGCTAAATTGACTGGAAGATTAAGAAATTGCCCTCCTTCATCCAAAACCAAGTCATCAACTGTTTGTTTTACTTTTACAGGTGGTGGAAGAAACCTATTGTCTAGTAATCTAAATAGGCCACTTATTGGACGACAGCATTCTGTATCTCTACATTTTACAATTTGAAGCAAGTATTGGCTCTCACGCACATCTTCTGAATACTATTTAATGTCTGGAAAATCAGGAAGATCTTGTTCACCTGCCCCAACATATTTTGCATTAGCATTATAGCCATCAATTTCCATTGAACTCCATACTTCATAATACATTTCCTGCAAATTCGAAATTAGATCTTTCTAAATGTTCATCAATCGTAACGCCACGTTCATCCAAATAAGACTCAAAATGGTCATGAGGCAATATTAAACCAGCCAGTTCCCGACTAAGAAAAGCCAATCTGCGCTCTACTCTGTTATACGCACTTCTTCCAGGAGCATTGGTAGCTAAGAACAATGCATCGAGATCATGTCGCTTAAAGTGTTGTATAGCAAACCCTATGACTTTGTGATAACGTGGATTTTCTTCTGGCCCTTCATCAACCGCCATGATTACCACTGGTTTTACTAGTCTATGGTCAGTTTTAGCTAATGGTCGAAACTCTTCGAGAAGCGTCTCGAAATCCGGAGCATGAGTATTAGCAGTAGATGAACTATGCTTTCCACTTCGAATAGCGATGTATGTTGGTCCAGAATATCCAATGGCTCGCGGTTGTCCTAGCATATTGGAAGTGATTTTGATACCAGCATAAACATATGGTATTAATTTATGACGCTCAGCGATTACCCAATCGTGATCAGGCAATTTGATTCTATATTCCATGTGCATTAGAAGAGGTGCTTGCTTATTTGCCGCAGTTACGCCAATAGGGACTCGAGCTTTATCATCTTGTGATATGAAAAATATTTGATCTGGTCCAAGAATGGATGCTATGTTCTCTAAATAATGGATTGATGTTTCAGCGAACTTGCTATCTAAGTGGCTCTTTTGGTGATCAGTTTGAGCCCGAATGAGCTTAACTGGGACTGTCGATACATGTCTTCGTCCCTCTGCAGAATTAGTTTTTCTGGGACTCAAACGAAGATATGTCCCTCTGCGACTAATGTCAAATCCTATTTTACGTAATTCTTGTGTGAGTTCATCAAGAGTTTTTACGCTGCGAATTGATGCCGTTCGTCTTCTATCATCTGCTGCACTCCCAAATAAAGCTATATCCGCGATTGTTTTCAGTAGTGAATGTTGATTGCATTCAAGATTAGGACGTCCCACTGAATTCCTCAGAGTTGGTCTTTTTTTTAATTTCTGGTTCATGACAAATATCTTCTTCCTTTTCATACCATCCCTGTGTTTCTTCTGGGCAACTGCGTTTTGAACCTTCCTGTTTAAAGACTGTTTCGCTGTTTTTATTTTCTCGCGCACCTTAATGATCTGTTTATCAACTTCAGCACGGCTTGGCATAGTATCTCTGGCAGAATACAAAGCATTCAGATTTTTTTCGAGTAGAGCAATCTTATTTTTCATAGCTTCCTGAGAAGGTTTCGATCTCTGTTTATCTGTATTTTCATTAATTTCGCATTGCTGTTGTGATTCATTACCGTGTTTTATTTTATCTTCTTCCTCTTTTTTAATATTTAAAGCTGACTCTATAATTTGTGTTTTTTCTGCAGGTTTACAGGTTGCCTAAAAGTAAAAACTGTCTATGGCTTCTGCTAAAGATTCTCTTATTAGGCTACATAAATACAAAGTATGGCAATATATATGGTAAATACAAAACCCTATGGCTTTAAATCTAATATGTTTTAACGAGCAATTCGTTCCGGTCACAAAATACAGGGTGTTAGTTTTCTGTGTATATGTATAAAACTAACATCCTGTACTTTGTGACCAATTGACGGAATCAATCATAAGAAATAAATCTATAATATAATGAATCTTACCTCTATAGTTTGAGATAGGCCATAATATTTTCTAATCAGTAAAGAGAAACTTTTTGGCGACTTCTAATATTTCTAGTACTCATAGGTAGCTAAAATGATTTCGTCACTCCCTTAGAAAAAAAATTTAGTAGATTGGATTTATGCTTAGTCGCCGCTTGTAATCTTTTTTCGTATAATTTGTAATTTAGCCACACTTCGTTAACTAACTTTTGTACATTTTGTACTTTCGTACTTTTTGAAACGTTCAAACAAATTTTGGTATAATTTGGATTTGTCTATGTGAAACGACATCTTATTTAAACATTAAACTTTGGCTAATGGAATCAATGGTAGCACAAATGTTAACTTGCTTTACTATAATCAAATCCAAGCGAATAACCAAAATTTCTGTGTTATGTGCCGCGGTTATAATATGGTTCAAGATGACACACGGGTTGATGACGTCAGTTACACGAATCGCTTGAACGCGTTGGTTTTAACCGCGGTTTTGTTGCAAGTTGTTTATTTTAGAAAAGCGCGTATATAATCTTTGATTATTTTTATTATCACTTAATAATAGGTGCTTTTTCATCTAAAACTGTGTATGGAAAGTTTAAATAAGAAACCTTTCATAATATTCATGGGAGAATTGTTTTTTCAGATTTTTTTTAATGATGGAACCATGGCTTTGTAGCTATGATAACTTTCAATTCTCTGATTTTTCCCGCATGTCAAAGAAAACCTTTATTGATTCAGCAGAAATGATGAAAAAAGAAACTAGCAAAACCGTATACAGGTGGATATCATCTAGTGAGTTTATATGGCCATATTTTAATATTCTTGTGGTATATGGCTACACAGGATACTTTGTTAAGCATAGGAACAACATTTAAAGTGTCCCCAACAACCGTAATGAGTATAACTAATAAGGTGCTCCACTTTATGGTAAAACTGAGGTCAGCCTGTATCATTTTTCTCAAAAGTGAAGCTGAAGTACAATAACAATATCCAATACCCGGCAAAATTCAAACTTGTCACATTTCAAATAATAACCAGAAATATAAAACTACTCTTGAGTTGGGTAAATACCACAATTTTGCGGTGATAACTATGACATATAACAGCTGATTCGTGACGTCACGGATCTTATAACCAAACTGATAACTACACTCGCTTGAACAG